TTTTTTTTTTAAATGCAGAACTATTTGTAGAACAGGATGCTTTTATAGCATGGCAGAGTTGCTAATCCCTGCAAGGCCTTTCTAACTCTTTTTTTCCTCTCCTTTCTGAAGAAACATCTCTATGTATGCAATCTTCTTAGAAATGCAAAGATTTTACTCAACTCTTTGCCACCAGAGGTAGTAGATTTGGTTATATGATACACATTAAAAATGCCCCTGTGGTCGGTATTACTATTCCAGCAAGTCCTCTATCTACCACTCCCTACCACCAAGGTAACATTTCTCAGATGAAATGAGCCATTTCTGAGGACCTTTTAGTAGGAATGCATCTCAGCCCTGCAGTGATGATATGGAGGCATGTGCCGACTCTTACACACAATATATCCCTCCAGATAGTACCTCATCCCCAAGTCCTGTCTCCCAAATACAGCTTTCTAGAATTCTTCCCTAGGAGCCACACCTCTAGAGCCCAGACACACATGGAGCTCAAATTGGCTACACAGAGTAACGATTCAACTTCAGTTGCTCAATATAACGGCCACAATGACAGTTTCCAAGTGCCAGCTTCCCTATTTTGCAATGGGGAAATCTGCTCCAAGGAGAAAATGTTCCCAATGACCCTGTGGCCCAAAGGGGTTTCTTTAAAACAGAAAACAGAAAATGAATTTGTTCACTATTTCCTGCTGAGCACAAGGAAGGTGGTGTGGTTAGTTAGGATGACTTTTGTTTCCTTATTTAATATATCACTACTATACATCTTTCCTTTAACCAAATAGTAGAAAATAAGAAAATGCAGTTTATATTTTTCTCTCATATTGTTACCAATTCCACAAGTCTCCTCTCACAAAAATGTCCTTTGATTTTCAGTCCCCTTATGTAAAGGTCCCCAGACTGTCACCTATCAATTCAAAGCAATCTTTTTTTGCATCCTAACATAGTTACTGCCATACACATTTCTGCTACTGGGTAATTTATGATGTGTGAGGACCTTCCCTTTACCAGTAATTGCAATCCTAAATTTACCTTTTTGAGAATTACAATATACATAAATAATATGAGATCACCATAACCTAAAAGCAGACTGTTTCTGGGCCTCAAATCTTTCATGATCTCTGCATTCAACTGTTAAACTATTATAAATTTTCACAAACAAACAAGGTACAATTGGTAAGGCATATTGTGTTGGAAGAAGGAGAAAGGAGAGTGACAAGGGGCAAAAAAGCCCATTATTGTTTGGAATTGTCTGACAATGACTATCAAATACTCAGTGGCCACTAGTAGGGATCGTGTGGAGATGTGCACTGTGCATACTCAGGAAAAATTCACCAACAACCAAAACAGAAGCTGCCCTTGGACAAGGTTCAATAAATGTTTTTACTATCTATTTCCCACTGCACAATACAGCTCCCCAGCTCCCCCAAGGGATCTCAGATAAAATACTTAATAGAATAAAAAATTAGAAATTCTTAACTGCTCTCAACTTGTCATCATAAAACATTTTAGAGCATAAACCCAACATTAAGAAACAGTCAACAATATTCCTTAGAATAATGTCATAGCCATAAACTATTATTATCCCCCAAGTTTTTTCCCTCCTAAGAGCCAAGATTCTTCTCATTAAGGGGGTCACAGTTTAACATGGTGCCTACATATACTCCCTAAACTCCTAAAATTTGCCTCTTGAAGGAGTGGAGGGAGAGAAGCTTCCAAAAGTCAAAGGCATTGATTTACAAAGATGAGGGTAGCAAAAAACTTCCAATGAGCTGCTCATATTTTACTGCTCAAGCCTAGCTATAATATCTAAATTCCGTTGGCAAATTGGTAAATACACCAGTTTCTATGAGAGTCCAGGACAACTATCACAATTCAGTAATTACACCCTCCAGAACTGGGACAAAATGAAACCCCAAAATGAGTAAGCACAAGATAGGCTAACCCAGAATACTCCAGTTAATGGACAATTCAGTTAAAAATATCTGAGAAATAAGTACTGGATTCAGGAACAAGAAGCAAAAGCTCTTATACTGGCATTTCTTTCACTTCTGACATGGGGAGGGGGCCTCCATTCCTGGCTGCCCAGATCTTTGTTCGTTTCCAATCACCTGCATTCCTGGGCAGCACCCAACATCGTGAAGATAGATGCGGTTGAAACACCCTGCCAGGAAGATGTCAGAGCTGAACTTACAGCATTCAGAAGAAGTAAGTTATTCTATTTCATCATCATCACCTCCATCATAATCAAAAGACCTAGTAAGATCCTCCAGAAACTGCTAAAAGAGGTGTCTATTCTTTAGTCCTGGAGGTTAAGAGAAGGCTGTGCTACCCGCTTTGCAAAGACAGGCGATCACGATGAGGGAAGGGGGGGGGGGGGGGAGGAGAGAAAAGAAAGAAAGAAAGAAAAACGGAGCCACATGGAGGACAGAAAATAGTAGCAGAAAAAGTCCAACTCTGCCTGCGCCAGCGGTGTGGATAGCAGAGCAGCGAGCCCCGGAGAGGAAGGAGGGGCGGGGGCGATCATTCCCTAGGAGAACTTCACAGCGGAGGCCTTCACAGCCTGGGAGCCTGCCCAGCTGCTCCTGCAGACCCTGCCATCCTGGGCAAGGCAGGCTCTAGGGAGTAGCGCGGGCAAGGCCTCCGAGGGTCACTCCTGACTCACTGAGCCTCAGGCCAGCACCGGACGGACCTCTCCGTTTTTCCTTCCGCTACTGGGCTGCGATGGCAGCGTTCCAGCCCCACATGCCATACATCAGCCGCAGATCCCTGCTGGCACAGGCCGGCGCCTCCCCCCCGCCCCGTCCCCCGCCCCTGGCACACTTTGAGCCTAATTCTCCTTCTCCTCAACCTAACCCTCTCGCCCACCCGTGCCAGGCGCCCTGTCTAGGGGCGCCCGCCCCCGCCCCCAGCGGCCGGACGCTGCCAGGCCTGGGCACCTGCAGCACTTCTCCGCCCCACCCCCATTCTCCAGCACCTCTCCCCTCCCCCCACCCGTTCTCCAGCAGAGGGAGGGGGCAACTCACCGCAATCAGTGCACAGGATCTTGCCCACCTCTTTCTTGAGGTTTTTGCCGTTGGTCCCGAGGGGGGCAAAGGCCGTCTTAAAGACTAAGGGCTGCTCCGTGGGCTCCAAGAAAAAGATGTAGCGCTGGTTCCTTTCGAGCGGCGCACAGGAGCCCACGCTGATCACCTGCTCGCGCTGCAGCCCCCCGCTCCGGAGCGGCCACTTGTCCAGCACCTTCACCAGCGCCACCCGACCCGAGGCAGGCGGCTCGCGGGTGCTGTTGGAGCCGGAGCCTCCAGCTGGGGCCAGCGCCTGTACCTTGCCCTCCACCACCACGGGTGCCTTGTACGCCTGGTCCTGCACCGACTTGAGGCTGGGCGAGTAGCAGGCGAGCGACACGCCGAAGAGCAGCATAGAGAAGCCGGGGGCCGGGTCGCGCCTCATGCCGCCGGCGGCTGCGGCTCGCGAGCGGGCGGCGGCTCTCCGGGCTGCGGGGCTGCGGGGCTGCGGCTGTTGCTGCGGCCGCGGCTTTGGGGGCGCAGCGGGACGGGAGGTGCTGCTGTTGCTGCTGCTCCTGCCGCTGCTGCCGCTCTTGCTGCTGCTGCTGCTGCTGCTCCTCTCGCTGCTGCTGCTGCTGCTGCTGCTGCTTCTGCTGCTGCTGCTGTCGCTGTAGCTGCTGCACCGAGCCTTCTCCAGTGGCGGCGGCGGCAGCGCTGAGCAGCAAACCTGCCGCATCTGGCCAGGCCATTTGGGGGGCTCCGCCGCTCAGCCGCCGCCGCCTTGGGAGGGGAAACAGAGCCCGCTGGAAAACCGGAAACAGCGTAACGTTAGCGCCTTGTAGCCCTCCACCGGCAGCCCGGGGAGGTGGCCCAGCTAGGGCAGGGGGCAGGCGGCAAGTGGGCCGCGATGCGCAGCGCGGCGCAGCGCAGCGCTCCCTCCCTGCGCGCCAGTTCTTGGAGGAGGATGCGGAGGATGGGACGCCCGCCCACTTGCTCTCTCGCGCCCCCTCTACCCCGGGACCGAGTGGGGAGCGTGGCTTCTGCAGGGGAAGCTTGGCACTGCACTGCTTTAGTGCCCGCCTTCAGCCCGCAGGGGCGCAGGAGGAATTGTGCCACCCTTTGCTCTTGGGATTTATCCGCGGCATGACAGTGGGGGTAGTGAGTGAGGAGAGGGTGGACAAGAGACAGAGGCTTCTGACCGCTTCCCAAGAACGTGGGAGTGGGACACTCTGCGTGCCCCCGCCTCCGGCCATCTGCTGTAGGTACCAGGGAGGTTGCCAAGGCCAGGATGACGCTTCAGCGTCTTCTCTCCTGCGCTGCCCCCCTTGCTTAGCAGGACCCTGGAAACGAGGTCCCCCCACCCCCAGCAATGAACCCACGTGCTTGGTCCTGCCACAGCTTGGTGAGCGCTGGATATTCGAGTTGAGGTGAAGAAGGATCCCAGCCCTGTCATTTTGTAAAGGATTGATGTTACAAGGAATCTTGTCTGAGCGTTGAGGACACTTAATCTAAGGTGGTGTTTGAGAGAGGTTCCAGTCCTCCAAATTCCAGGCTTTCTACAGTAGTGGGGGGTGCGGGGAGTGAGACTGCACGTTACACATTTTCTTTTAAAAATCAGCTCCCTAAGGGAGGTGGAGAGCCTCTTGAGAGCCAGTTGGGAGTCATCCTGTCAGGGTCAGAGATTACTCCATAGAAATGATTTCTTTACAAAAAAAAAAATCTGGTGTTTGTAAGAGGCAGAAGAGTTTGCTCCACTGGAGCCAATGTCTGATCTAAATGATGATAGATAGATAGATAGATAGATAGATATCCATAATCCATTCCTCTATCAATGAGGGTCCAGTAAGTTAATATCCAGCTTTTATCTTTGAAGGATGTCAAGCTCAGGCATGCTAGCCGAGATCTTTGAGAATTTTTTTCCTGACCAGACCCCACAGGAAACTGGCCCAAGGATATCTGACTTAGGCTCAGGATTGCTATCTGGGAAAGGAAGGAAGGAGTTAGCTCTTTTCTCCTGGCTGTCTAAAAGACACCTCAAACTACATATCCAAAGCCAACAGCATTGTTTCTCCCACCAACTCTGAATTCCCTATAATTATTAATGACACCATTTTTTACTGGGCCACCCAATCTATTCCAATATGTCACTTAGTTTCAGCTCTTACCTTCCCTCATCCAATCAATCACAAAGTCCAAGTCCTCATTGTCTGTCACTTGGACAACAACAAATCTTCCTAATTGTATCCAAACTTTTTTTTTGTGGTTCTGGGGCTCGAACTCAGGGCCTACACCTTGAGTCACTCCACCATCCTTTTTTTGTGAAGGATTTTATCAAGATAGGGTCTTGCAAACTATTTGCCCTGGCTGGCTTCGAACCGTGATCCTCCTGATCTCTGCCTCCTGAGTAGCTAAGATTACAGGTGTGAGCCACCAGCGTCAGGCTTAGTATCCACGCTTTTTGCCTCCTTGCCTACTCTCCAGTCCTCCAGGCCTGCTACTGCTACAGTGATCTTTCTAGAAATACAGTAAAATGATGCGGCCACAGTACCGCTCTCAGGATTGAAGTTGAAACTCTTTATTGAGGTTCTTCTAGCCTCATATTCTGAGAGCTAACCTCTTATCCTAGCAATCTTTAACACGTTGTGCTGTTTCTTGGTGTGCTTCTGCATGTAATGTCTGGTGTCCAGGAAGCCTCATCTATACCTTGTCTTCCTGGAAAATTATTCTTTCCCCATGGACAAGCTCAGCATTATATCTCATCCCCAGACCTTCCTGCATATCTACCACCGTTCCCATCACCATGGGCATACACGATGGAATTAATCCCATCCTTGTCTGTGTTACCATGTGCCTCACATATATTACTATTATGGCATTGATTTCTGTAGTACTTTAAGCAGCTGTTAGTGGATCTGCATCTCCCATCAGACCAGGCATCTTTATGTCAAGGACTACATTCTAAGAGTCTTTGGATCCTAATTACATGTAACACAGTGTCCGCTATAGAATAAGATCAGCAAAGCTTCAGTGAAGGCAGGAAGAAAGGAAGAAGTGAACTGAAGATTAGTATTAAAGGTATCAAGCCAATCTTGAAAGGATTCTTCCGTGACTCCTTTCATTTTCATAGATCATAGATCTTATAAATCACAAAACATTGCTATAAGGAAGATGGCTAACTCTGTCTCTCATTTTTCAATGAAAAAGAAGGTCTCAGAGCGGAAAGGGACTAAGGCCACACACAGTCAAGACTATACTCAATCTTCTATGTCTGAAGCCAGAAAAGTGAAGAGCTTGTGCTCTGGAGTCAAGCAGAGCTTGGTTTTCAACCAATTTTGTAACTTACTAACTTTGGGATGAGTTCATCTCACTTTCCAGGCCTTGTTTCTTTATTCGAATAATAGAGAAAATAATAGGATTTGCTTCATACAGCTGGGTTTTGCTCATTATGCACTTATTCAATAATTACTCAGCTCATGGCTTTTATGTCAAGCACCAAGGGACTATGCTGTACTTGTTACTGGTTGTACTGCAGGGATCCATACTGACACTGTCCTAGCTCTGAAGCTTCTACTCTAGCTGGGGAAACAATAGTAAACAAGTAGACAAATAGGTAACTTATTGCTGTAGTGATGAATATTCTGAAGGAAATGATTCTGGATGAAAGATAGAAAATAATGGAAAGGGGAGAGGAGAGGTCAGCCTGGATAAAGGAAGACTTCTTTAAGGAGATAACATTTAAAGTGAGACTAGAAGAATGAGAAGGATGTGGCTCATATGAGATAAAATGTATAATGTGCTTAGAACAATGCCTGGCACAGCGTAGGGGCCCAAATTAATGCTGCCTTGGTTGACAGCTGATTTATACCAGTGGTTCCCAACCAAAGAGCTGAGGCTCTCTAAGCAGTATGTAGTTATTGCACACTAGGATTTTCTGTATATTAAACAATGCTCGGGATGTGCTCAGTGGGGGAGCATTTGCCTATCATACATAAGGCTCTGGATTTGATCCCCAGCACCACATAAAAGAAGAAAAAAAGTTTTCAACTGTAGATACGTGATGAAAAAAAAAAAAAAAACCACATTTCCAGAGCTAGGGGTGTAGCTCAGTGGTAGACCATTTGCCTAATGTGCACAAGAGCCTGGGTTTCATCCTCATCATGGGAAAAAAAAAACTTTTCTAAACATGTTCATTTTAAAGTATAGACATTGTTAAGTGAAAAGAAAACAGTTGAAAGAGAGTAGTAAGACATGCTACCAGTTTTGTCTTGCTAAAAAAAAGGATAAATATGTAAATGTTTACAGCATATAAATTACTTTTGAAAGAACACAGCAGAAATCTAAATAATAGTTGGCTCTGGGGAAAGGCAATGTGTGACTGAGGGATGAGGTGAAAGAATAATTTCATGATATTCTCTTTTGTACCTTGTGAATTTTCTATCAAGTTCATGTACTACCTTTTACAAAAAATGAAAGTGGGGACCCTTGAATTTTTTACTGCTATTGAATTTTTTCAGGCTTTTCTCAATACTTAAACTAGAACAATTATTATATGGAATTCTCTGAATTTTTTTTACCTTAAAATGATATTCTTCTGCTAAAAAGTATTGAGAATTATTTCCCTATAATTATATCCTGTTTAGAGAACCTTAGAATGCAAAGGTAAGTTTTGAGGTCCCAACAGTCTGCTAGAATTCCTGCGATGTCTACAGGGAAGACAGCTGTTTAAAGGGAAACCTGTCCAACTTTCCTCAAGGTGTGACATGATGTTTGCAGATATACTTCCAGAATTAGCCTCTGCTGTTTAGTGTAGAAGAGCAGAGTACTTGGTGTCCAAGGACAGTCCAATTCCATACTGGCCTTTTCCTGGAGTTCAAAGTGAATTAGCATACATGTCTTAGAAAATAAAACCTGGTATTCAAAGCCTACTAACTCTTCATCATAATTCAGTAATTGATAATAAAAATAATGATATCCATCATTACATTTTTTGGCAGTACTGGGGTTTGAACTCAGGGCCTCACTCTTGCAAGGCAGGCACTCTACCACTTGAGTCACTCTGCCAGCCTCATCACTTATTAATAGTAGATTCTGTGTTTGAAGCTTCATGCTTATTATTTCCATACCTCAACAATTTTGCATTTTACAAATTGAAAAGATTTGCAGAAGTTTGATAACTTGCCCAAATGATAGGAGAGTTGGTTCCCTAATTTAGGCCTTATCCACTCATTACCAAAGCATCTGCTTTGTGTCCTACCACCTGGTCTTTCTGGGTGGGAAGCCTCCCTTTTCATTGTCATCTCAGAGGTCTCTAATCTCTCCAAACTACTTCCACAAATGTCACATGATCTGAAATTTACAACACTGGAGAGCAAGTAGTATAAACATCATTTTACAAAAAGATGGAAAAACATGGAGACACTAAGAACTTAAGTGACTTTCCCAAGACCACAAAGCTACAGTGAGCTTTTGTACCAAAATTGATCACAAACTCAAGCTCATACTTTCGAACAGTAGAAGCCAGTTCTGTTCACTATACCGTGGCACACCACGAGGTTGTAGGGGAAAAAAAGCTAGTTTATGGAGGCGGAGGGCTGTGTCACTATAGAACAACCACTAAGAACAAAACCAGAAGTAGACAGAATGGTATAGACATTCCAAATTCAAGATAGAACACCCACAGGAAAAGCCTGGCTGCTTCTCTCAGATCCCTCCCACACAAGATGAGCTTCTTCCAGCTTTGGCCAGTTGAACAGGCAGAAAGCACCACTGCCCCAGGTTACAGGACTTACTGTATCCAGGAGAACTGGCTAGATAGGGAGAAATGTGTGGCCTACATCTGGTCACTGAGTCTTACAAATCAAGCCAAACCCTCTGCAGGACAG